TCGTCGTTGGGGCTCCGGAAGACGCGGCCCATGGTGCTCGGCGGCTCGGGGGTCGGGAGCGGCGGCTTCTCGGGCGTCGCCGCGTCCTCCGCCGCGGCGAGCCGCGCGCGGACGTCGCCGAGCCCGGACCCCTCGGACTCGCCGGGCCGCGGCAGGCAGACGCTCCCGCGCGTGAAGCTGCTCCGGGGCGTGCTCGTCGTCGACGGCTGCGCCTTCTCGGCGGCCTCCCCGGGCGGCGCCTCGCGCGACGCCGCGAAGTCGTCGTCCGTCCACTTCATGTCCTCCTTGTGGCTCGGCGGCTCGCGCGCGGGCGTCTCGTCGGCGCACTCCTCGAAGCTCAGGTCGCTCATGTCCAGGCCCTCGAGGGCGACGGGCTCCGGCGTCTGCGGCGGCGGCGCGCCGTTCGCTCCGTCCTGCGCGGCGTCGCCGGGCAGCTCCTCGAAGCAGAAGTCGTTCTCGTCGAGGGTCTGCGCGTCGCCCTGCGTCGCGTCGGCGTCCTCGAAGACCATGTCCTCGAAGTTGACGTCCTGCTCCTCGAGGGCGACGTCGTCCATGGCCAGCTTCTTCGGCGTCGGCGGCAGGACGGACTGCGGGCCGCCCTCCTTGCCCGTCACGCGGCTCCGCGGCAGCGGGTAGGGCGACTTCTGCTTGGCGACCTCGTGGGACTTCATGATGTCCTCGTAGGAGCACCCGAAGGTCTTGCCGTCCTTCTTGTCGCGCTCGGCCTCCCGCTTCGCGACGTGGCTCAGGCCGACCCAGGACGGGAACGCCTTGACCAGGGGACCCGCGCGGAAGAGGCGCTTCAGGCCCTTGGGCTCCTCCTCCTCGACGCCCTCGGGGTCGATGTCGTAGCTCAGCACCTCGTCGGCGCCCGTCTGCACCTCCTTGAACTCCTCGACCATGGTCGTCGGGCGCGCGCTTCTTCGCCCTTCGAAACGGTCTCCGCGGACCTTCGCCGCCGCGGGCGGCGGCGCGCGGAGCGCACCGGCGCGGCCAGAGACGCGCCGCGGCGGCGGCCGGGGCAGCCGCGCCCCCGGCGGCGGGCGTCGACGCGGAAAAACTGTGTCGGCGCGGGGCAGGCGATGCCACACCTCGACGGGGCACGGATGAGTTTTATTTGATGGAGCTCATGATGTTTCCCCATAACTGTTTTTTCAACTCGGAAAGATATTGAAAAATGCACTCAAAACCTTAGGCGCCGTAGGCCTGGGCGTTCGCGTGGAGGCCCGTGACGGGCGCGGCGCCGCGGAGCCCGAGGAAGGCGAAGAGCTTCCGCTGGAGACCCGCGTCGTCGAAGAGCTTCGGCGACTCGAGCACGAGGACGCGGCCGTCGCCGTGGCGCGCGCGGAGCTGCTCGAGCCCCGCGTCGTAGGCGTCGTAGTAGGCGCCGATGGCGCCGACTTTCGACGTCGCGCCGGGAAATTTGGGGAAGGTCAGGTCCCACTCGTCGAGCTGGCGGTCGCCGCCGTCGTGGGGCGTCCAGTGGTCGCGGCTCCGGAGCGACCCGCCCGCGCCGCCGGGCTCGGTCCACGCCGCGTAGGACTTGACCGTCGCCGCGCGGTCCCGGCGCACGGCGACGACGCGGACGTCGTCGCCCGCGGCGAGGTAGGCGCCCGCGCGCGGGAGGTGCGCGTAGTTGACGTCGCCCGCGAGGCCCGCGGGGCCCGCGCGGGCCCGCCAGTGCGCGAGGCGCCGCGCGACGACCGGCTCGCGCGCCTCGTCCGGGTCCCAGAGCGTGACGCGGCAGTCCGGCTGGTTCGACTCGTGCGTGACGCGGCCGCCGCAGGCCCGGAGCAGCTCCGCGAGCGACGACGTGCCGCCTGTGTGCAAATCAACCAGTGAGCTGGGACGTCCCGACCAAACTTTGAAATTCTCTAGCTCGGCCAATCGAAGTCGATTCGGCTGATTTTTGGACGAATCAATCGCTCTCGTCGAGTTCTCGAAGCAGAGCGAAAGAGTCTGGTCCAAACCGTTCGATTACGCGCACATTGAAGTCGGTTTGAAGATTTGATTTCCACACAGCGTGCCGCAGCGGCCGCAGCCTAAACCGACGACGACGACCCGCGCGGGGCCCGCCGTCGCGCCCGAAGCCGCCTCGGCGACGTCGTCGGGGTGGCAGAGCTGGCGCCGCCAGTCCAGCGCCGGCACCGCCGTCACGCCCGCGGCGGCCAGCAAGGCGTCGCGCCGCGCCTCGTCCGCGGCCGCGGCCTTGAGGTCGGGTTCGTACTTGGCCGCGAGGTGCGCGTAGGCCGCGCCCAGGCGGCAGCCCGCGCCGCGCGGCGCCGCCGGCGGCCGCGACGCCTCGTGGGCCGCGAGCGCCGCGGCGCAGGTCCGCGCGAGCCGCGCGGCGCAGCTCTTGACGCGGTCGCGGTCGCCCGCGAAGCGGCGCGCGCCGCCGCCGAAGAGGCTCACGGCGCGCATGGCGTCGGCCGCGGCCTCGCGGGACCGGACGCCGCAGGCGAGCAGGCACCGCGCGCGCGCCGCGAGGCCCACGGCCGCGAGGTCCGCGTCGTTCGCCGCGTACGCGCGCCTCAGGAAGCCGTCGTAGCCGTCCGCGGACGGGCCGCCCGTGTCGCGCGCGTGCACGGCGGCGGCGGCGTCGAGGGCCGCGGCCGCCGCGGCGGCCGTCTCCGCCGTGCGCGCGAGCGCCAGGAACTCGAGCAGGTCGCGGTCGACGTCGTCGACGGCCTCGGGCCTTTTCGAGCTTTTCGGAAAGACGACCTCCGCGTGGTCGTGGCCGAGCGTCTTCGCGGAGACCCAGCCCTCGGCGGGCGCCGCGACGCGCACGCGCACCGTGCCGTCGCTCGCCTCGGCGAAGCCCATGGACTCGCAGACGAGGAACGTGCCCTCGCGCACCTCGGCGACCTGGGCGCTCGTCTTCTCCACACCGCTCCGCACGACGCAGCCGCGGCTCCGCACGGCCATGACGCATTTGGATTTCGGGTCGCCGGCGAAGGACACCGCCGGCATCATCGCTGCGAGTGTTGGCGGCTGGTGCGGCACCGCGGCTGGCGGGCCAAGGCCTTTGCCACAAGCGCATCGGGAAGCAAACTCCGACTTGCCTCGACTGCACCGAGGCGATGGCGGCGCAAATCGCAGCCTCTGTCGCGCCCTGCGACGCGCCGGACAGCGAGGACGAGGCCGTCGAGGACTTGTTCGGCTTCGATTTCAACGGCATCGTTGTATGCGACGACAGCGAGGAGGAGAGCGACGGCGACTGCGCGCCGCACGTCCCCAAGCGGCGCGTCGGCGCGGAGATCCCGCGCGTCGACGCCGCGTCGCTGGCGCCGGGCGAGTTTTTGGAGCGCTTCAGCCGGCGCAACGCGCCGGTGGTGCTCTCCAACTGCGAGGGCGTGCCGACGCACCTGACCGCGGACTGGTGGCGACAGCACCACGGCGACCGCGAGGTGCCGCTCGACGTGAACACGGGCGGCGCCGTGAAAGCGCCGCTGCGCGACTTCTTAGCGGGCAAACTGCGGACGCGCTACCTGCGGAATCTGCATTTGGGCGACTGGTTCCCGGGCGCGGCGGACGACGTCGGTTTGCCGCCGGTCATGGGCGAGAATCTTTTGGCGGACGAGGAGAGGGTGCGGGGCTGCCCGCGGACCTGGCGCACGTGGCTCGAATTATTCATTTGCTTCGAGGACTGCGCCGGCTTCCCGTTCTTGCATCGCGACATCTGCCACACGCACGCGTCAGTTTCGCCGGCGTCGTCGAAGCTTCGGAAACCTTTTAAAACCCAACGTATCGCAGGTACTCGCTGCAGATCCAGGGCTCCAAGGAGTTCACGCTCTTCCCGCCCGACGACGCGCGCTACATCTACGTCAACGCGCAGGCGGGCTTCTCGGGCAACCGGAGCGCGGTCGACGTCCGCGACCCGGACGTCGCCAAGAAGTTCCCCCTCTTCCAGCTCGCGGCGAGGTCGACGGTGACCATCGGCCCGGGCGACGCGCTCTTCGTGCCCGACGGCTGGTGGCACACCGCGCGCTGCGTCTCCGAGGCGCCGTCCGTCACGCTCGGCGGCAACTACGTCGACGCGTCGAACTACGACGCGTTCTCCGACGCCTTCGCGGACTACCTCGCCGTCAAGGCGCTCGGGTCGGTCGGGGCGTCGTTCCTGAATTAACCAGTGTTGTTGCGGAGCGGCTGGCATCGATTCAACTTAGATTCAACTTGGGCGGCAAGCATCGATGATGCACTTTGCCTGGCGCGGCCCAAGAACATGGCTGCCCGGAGCATATGAATCTAAACACACTGCGGCTCGGGAGGTCCGAGGTCTCGGGCGCAACCCACAACAGCAAGCGACTCGGGCGGCGGAGGTTCGATTACTCGCGCGGGCCCGTCCCCGCCGTCCGCGGCGACACTCGGAGACCTGTGACGGGGGGCGCCTCGGGGTGGGGGGCGCTTATCCGGGGGCCTAGCCTAGGCCCGGTAAGGGTCGCAGGGACCTGTGACCGGGCGGAGGCGTGTGACGCCTACTTGAGTAGGCGCCTCGTGGTGCTCCAGAGCGTCTCGTGCCTGATCAGCTGAGTCGCCGCTTCTCGCCGCTTCCCGGTCGCGAGCATTTCGAGCAGTGGGCGAGTGAAGTAATGGAGGTCCTCGCGGGGGCGGGATTTGCGGGCGTGAACGGTGTTGTCAAGGCTGTGACGGGGAAGAGCATCCTACAGCACTGCGGCATCGCCGTCAACCGCCTCCGGGCTAATGTGCTGGGCATCGGCGCCGAGTACATGGGCCACGCCCTCGCAGACAAGGCCGCAGATAAGGCATGGAAGGCCGCGGAAGCTAAGCTCGCCGGGCCGGATCGCGACGAGCGGCTCCGCTTCTCGTGTCGCCTCGAAGCACTGAGCGACGTGTTACAGAGCGTGGCGTCGTCGCGGGCCGTCGAGGACGACTCGGTGAAGACGGCTCTCGACAATTTGCGCTCCTCTCTCGAGCGCGCCTTGAAGGCCGCCGGCAGCGATGATGGACGCCGTTCTTCGGAAGCCGACATCGACGGCTACATGCAGCACCTGCAAGTGGCGTTGGCGACGGCGAACGCGAAGCTGGCGGAAGATTCGCACGACGAGATCCGCAAGTCGCTCGAGTCGCTCGCGACGGAGGACAGCTTCAAGTACGATCCCTACGACTCCGATTCGGATCAGGAAGCGTCCCTTCTCGGCGAGGGCTCCTTTGGAGCGACGCACACGATGCGCAACGTCGACGACGGCCACCTGTACGCGGTCAAGCTGATCAAGATCAAGAAGGCGGGCGTCCCCATCGAGAGCCTGCGGCAGGAGGCGTCGCGCCTGGCGAAACTCAATCATCCGAACATCGTCCGCTACTACACGTCCTTCACGAAGAAGAAGTTCTTCGCGATCGTCACGGAGCTCCTGACCGGCGGCTCGCTGCTCGAGCGCATCGACGACGCCGCCGGCCCGCTCCCGGCCGGCCAGATCAAGCGGTGGACGATCCAGATCGCGTCCGCGCTCGCGCACATGCACGCGCAACGCATGCAGCACCGCGACCTCAAGCCGGACAACGTCCTCTTCGACGCGCGCGGCGACGCGCGCCTCATCGACCTCGGGCTCGCGCAGATCGTCGTCGCCAAGTCCAAGGTCTCGTCCAAGAACGCGGTCGGCGCCGAGCTCTACCGCTCGCCGGAGAAAGCGCTCGGCCGCGCCTACGACGCGAAAGACGACATCTGGGCTCTGGGCTGCATGGTCGCCGGCGCGGCGACGGGCAAGTCGCTCGAGGCCCGGAGCGAGAGCGGCGCGGGCGTCTTCGCGCTCGACCGCGAGGAGGTCAAGAGCCTCGTCGACGAAGCCGTGTCCGCGTCGAGCACCTTCGGCGAGCTCGTCGCGGCCACGCTCGAGATCAACCCGATCGCGCGACCGGCGGCCGAGATCATCGAGCTCGCGCTGCGAAGCGGGAAGTCGCTCGCGGCCGCGGCGCGCGACGGCACGATCTTCGAGGAGGAGGACGACGATGCAACGTCTGATGCTTTGGACGATGTTCCGTATGCGGAGGTCGTCGGTGTTGAACCTTCGGGCGACGCGCCGAGCGAGAACGGCCCCGGCAAGGTGCGTGCGTCGGCGACGAGCGCCGGGTCGACGGCCCACGGGACACCGACCGCCGCCGAGGCCGACGCGGCGGCGTCTCGAGGCGACTTCGGCCCGCTCGTCGCCCTCCTCCGGACCGGCACCGACAAAGCCAAGGAGCAGGCCGCGGGGGCTTTGCGATGGTTGGCTCTGAACGCCGACAACAAGGTCGCCATCGCCAAGGCCGGCGCCGCGGACCCGCTCGTCGCCCTCCTCCGGACCGGCACCGACCGCATCAAGGAGATGGCCGCGGGGGCTTTGTCGAACTTGGCTTTTCAGAACGCCGACAACAAGGTCGCCATCGCCAAGGCCGGCGCCGCGGACCCGCTCGTCGCCCTCCTCCGGACCGGCACCGACGGCGCCAAGGAGAAGGCCGCGGGGGCTTTGTGGGGCTTGGCTGCGAACGCCGACAACCAGATCGCCATCGCCAAGGCCGGCGCCGTGGACCCGCTCGTCGGCCTCCTCCGGACCGGGACCGACAGGATCAAGAAGAACGCCGCGGCGGCTTTGGCGAACTTGGCTGTAAATAACAACGACAACAAGGTCGCCATCGTCAAGGCCGGCGCCGTGGACCCACTCCTCGGTCTCCTCCGGACCGGGACCGACGGGATCAAGAAGAACGCCGCGCTGGCTTTGAAAAACCTCGCGAGCGCCGCCGAGTCCCGAGCCGTGGTCGCGCAAGCCCTCTCCTTGGGTGCGACTGCCTCAAAACGCGACGTCGACGCGGCCATCGACAAGATACTGTCCTGAACTCTCCGCGCGTAACGTACATGTACTCCGAAGCGCGCGGGAGCTGATACCGCGCGGGGCAACATCGCTTCAACGCCTGATCGAGGGCAAACTTCGCCGAAGCGGAGCCACGGTCTGCGCCGCGTCAAAAACTTGCGCGCCGCAGCACGACCGACGATGGCCGCCATGGCGAAGCAGGTGTGCATGGTGACGGGCGGCACGGGCCTCTACGGCTCGGCGATCAAGACCTACGTGGAGCAGACGGCGAGCGAGCAGGGCGCGACGTGGGTCTTCCTGTCGTCCAAGGACGGCGACCTGCGCGACCGCGCGCAGACGGAGGCCATCTTCGAGCGCGTCAAGCCGACGCACGTCGTGCACCTCGCGGCCATGGTCGGCGGCCTCTTCGCGAACATGGCGAAGAAGGTCGAATTCTACCGCGAGAACATGCTCATGAACGACAACGTCATGGAATGCTGCCGGATCTATAAAGTGGAGAAGCTCGTCTCCTGCCTGTCCACCTGCATCTTCCCGGACAAGACGAGCTACCCCATCGACGAGTCCATGGTCCACGACGGCGCGCCCCACAGCTCCAACGAGGGCTACGCGTACGCGAAGCGGATGATCGAGGTCATGAACCGGTGCTACGCGGAGGAGTACGGCTGCAAGTTCACGGCCGTGATCCCGACGAACATCTACGGCCCCCACGACAACTTCTCCGTCAACGGCGGCCACGTCGTGCCGGGCCTCATCCACAAGTGCTACGTCGCGAAGCGCGACGGCACGCCGTTCACGGTCTGGGGCAGCGGCACGCCGCTCCGCCAGTTCATCTACTCCGTGGACCTCGCGGCGCTCACGGTCTGGGTCATGCGGTCCTACGACTCGGCGGACTCCATCATCCTCTCCGTGGGCGAGGAGGACGAGGTGTCCATAAAAGACGTCGCTCTGATGATCCGGGACGCGATGAAATTCGAGGGCGAGGTCATCTTCGACACGGACAAGGCCGACGGCCAGTACAAGAAGACGGCGTCCAACGACAAGCTCAAGGGCCTCCGGCCGGACTTCAAGTTCACGCCCATGCGCGAGGGCCTCCAGAAGGCCGTCGACTGGTTCGTCGCCAACTACGACACGTGCCGCAAGTAGGCGCGGGCGAGGCGGGGCGTAAGTTCGAAGCGTACACACAGTCAAGTTAGCCTAGTTCGCCTTGGCGAAGTTCGACTTGATCCGGCCGAGGATGTAGTCGCCCGCGGTGATCGCGCCGCCCTTGGACGCGATGACGGCCTCCTTGTCGGCCTGCATGAAGAAGGCGACGCTGTAGCGGGACCGACCGCACTCCGCGGCCGTCGCGGGCATGCGCACGCGGTGCAGGTTCGAGAGCACGCGGCCGTCGGCCCAGCGGCTCAGCATGTCGCCGACGTTCACGGCGACGCCGCCCGCGACGGGGTCCACGCGGAGCCACGAGGCCTGGGCCGCGCCGCCGCGCGGGTTCGCCGCGCACTCGAGGCCCTCGTTGCCCGGCCGCTGGTAGAGCAGCGTCACGCAGCACCAGTCCGTGTGAGGCCCCGCGCGCCACGTCGTCGCGTCGTCGGCCGCGACGGCGTCCGCCGGCGGGTAGTGGAGCAGGCGCAGGCAGCACTGGCCGCCGGCGCCCCAGAGCGCGTGCGAGCCGCTCAGCGTGCCCGGCGCGAGGTCCGGGCACGCGCGCGGCTCGAGCAGGTCGAGGATCCGCGCGGCCAGGCCCCGCGACGCGCCGAGCAGCGCCCGCGCGTCGGCCTCGAAGGTCGCCGGCGTCGCCGGCCAGCGGCCGTCCATGGCGCCCTCGCGCGCCGTGATCTGCAGCGACTCCTTCCGGTCCGCCGTCCCCGTGCTCGGCCGGACCTGCGTCATGTACTCGTAGCCGGAGTTGAGCCGCGGCGCGAAGGGCGACTGGCGCTCCTTCTCGCCCTGGTCCTGGGCGAAGAAGGCCCGCGACGCGGCGAAGCCCGCGGAGATGGTCTCCTCGTCGACGCCGTGGTTCACGACCGTAAAGAATCCCACCGTCGTCGCCGCGTCCCACATGCGCGCGCCGGCGTCGTCCGCGCGCATGTCGATGACGGGCACGCGGCCCGTGCTGGCGTCGCGCGTCATCGTCGCGCGCAGGCCGCGCTCGAGGTTGACGTCGTCGAGGACGGCGGCCATGATCTTTTCTTCGGAGAGCTTCTTTTCTATTTTTCGCGGGGGGTCGGTGCTCGTTTCAAGCGCGCGATCAGCAGCTGTTGTTGTCTTTCAGGAACCTGTTGTGTGCGCTGCGCGTCTATGCGCGGCCGTCCCGGAACCTCGTTGGCGGCGGCCTGGATGCCGGACGACGGCTCGGACAAGGACACAGAGGCTTTTCAGGCCTTCAAGACCTTGGTCGAGCAAACGCCTCCGATTGATGCCTTGACGATGCCGTGCCTTTACGATGCATTCACATCGTAGCTGCCCACCACCGTCCGAATCGCGGAGCCCACACGTCGCACCATGGCGCCGGCCGACTTGCGCGCCGAGGCGGAGGCGATCGTGGCGCGCATGAGCCTCGACGAGCGCGTCGCCGCCGTGTCCGGCCGCGACTGGTGGACGACCGTGGGCTGCGCGCGGCTGGGCGTGCAGAGCGTCTGGCTCTCCGACGGCCCCCACGGCCTGCGCAAGTGCAAGAGCAGCGCCGTCGTCGGCGGCGGTTTAAGTTTGACGACGGAAGCGCACTGCTACCCCACGGCCGTGACGCTCGGGTCGTCCTTCGACGTCGACCTCGCGGAGGCCGTCGGCGAAAGCATCGGCGCCGAGGCGCGGTACCGCGGCGTCGGCGTCGTGCTGGGCCCCGGCGTCAACCTCAAGCGGTCGCCCCTCTGCGGGCGCAACTTCGAGTACCTCTCCGAGGACCCCTACGCGTCCGGGTCCCTCGGCGCGGCCTGGGTCCGGGGCTGCCAGCGCAACGCGGGCGTCGGCGCGTCGGTGAAGCACTTCGCGGCGAACAACCAGGAGTCGAACCGCATGTTCTGCGACTCGCGCGTCGACGCGCGGACGCTGCGGGAGTTGTACCTGCCGGCCTTCGAGATGGTCGTGCGGGAGGCGAAGCCCTGGACGGTCATGACGGCGTACAATCGCCTCAACGGCGCCTACTGCAGCGAGCACGATTGGCTCCTGCGGCGCGTGCTCCGCGACGAGTGGGGGTTCGAGGGTTTGGTCGTCAGCGACTGGTGGGCCGTGCGCGACCGCGTCAAAGGCGTCGCCGCGGGCATGGACCTCGAGATGCCGACGAGCCACGGCATCCGCGGCGCCGCGCTGAAGCGCGCCGTCGCCGACGGGTCGCTGCCGTCGAGCGCCGTCGACGCCTGCGCGGCGCGCGTCGTCGCGCTCGCCCTCGCGGCGGCGTCGGGGCCCGGCGACGCGCCCGTGGACGACGGCGCCGCGCGCGCGCTCGCGCGGCGCGCGGCCGTCGGCGGCGCCGTGCTCCTCAAGAACGACGGCGCGCTGCCGCTCGTCCGGGGCCGGCGCGTCGCCGTGCTCGGGGCGCTCGCCGCGCGGCCGCGGGTCCAGGGCAACGGGTCCTCGGGCGTCAACTGCTCCCCTGACGCGCCGCTGGCGGCGCTCGGGGCCTACGCGACGATCTCGCACGCGGCGGGCTACGAATTGACGACGTCGCGCGTCGTCGACGGCGGCTTCCGGGCGCGGCGCCGGCGGGCGCGGCTCCGGGACGAGGCGCTGGCGCTGGTGGAGGGCGCGGACGCCGTCGTCGTCGTCGCCGGCCTCCCGCAGGCGTACGAGTCGGAGTGCTACGACCGCCTCGGTTTGGACCTGCCGCCGGACCAGGACGCGCTCATCGCGGCCGTCGCGGCGACGCGGCGCGACGTCGTCGTCGTGCTCCAGAACGGGTCGCCCGTCGCCATGCCCTGGGTCGGCGACGTCGCGGCCGTCCTGGAGATGTACCTCGCGGGCGAAGCGGGCGGCTCGGCGCTCGCGGATCTCCTCTTCGGCGCCGCGAACCCGGGCGGCAAACTCGCGGAGACCTTCGCCAGGTCCGCCGCGGCGCACCCGTCGGCGCGGACCTTTGGGAAGATGCGCCAGGTCGTCTACGACGACCGGCTCGACGTGGGCTACCGCCACTTCGCGCGGCCGCGCCACGCGCGCGACGTGCTCTTCCCCTTCGGCCACGGCCTCAGCTACACGACCTTTACGTACGGCGAGATCGCCCTGACGCCGGGCGCCGGCGCGTGCGACCCCGAGCTGCGCGTCGCCGTGGCGAACGCGGGCGCCGTCGCCGGAAGCGAGGTCGTCCAATTGTACGTCTCCGAGCGGAACCCGAGGCTCCGGCGGCCGCTCTTCGAGCTGAAGCGCTTCGCGAAGCTGTTTCTGGAGCCCGGGCCGGCGTCCCGTGGCGGCGACGATTTTCGAGAGATTTTGACCGGGAATTTGAAATCGTGACCGACGTGCTTGGTAGGCCCGGGGAGACGAAGACGGCGACCTTCGCGCTCGACTTCCGCTGCTTCGCCTACTGGGACTCGCGCCTCGAAAAATGGCGCGCGGACGACGGCGCGTTCGACCTTCTCGTGGGCGCGTCGTCCGCGGACGTCCGGAGCCGGGCGACGTGGACCGTGGCGGGCGCGACGCCGCGGTCCGCGCCGCCGCCGCCGGACGAGACCTTCTTCATGGACGCCTACGTGCCGCCGCCGGATCCCGTGCTGCCGCTCACGCTGCGGAGCCCGATGCGCGACCTCGCCCAGGCGACCTGGTGCGGCCGGCTCCTCCTCGAGGCCATCAAGGTCCTCGCCCGGGCCGCGCCGCTCATGGACTTCGGGGCCGAGGTGCTCCAGGGCGACGACCTGCCGCTGCTCCAGGCGTTCTGCCACGAGGGCGCGATGGGCCTGCCCATCTCGCACCTGGCCCTCCACACGTGCGGCAAGCTCAGCGAGGCGTGGCTCGAGACGCGGCTGCTGGTGGCCGTGAACGAGGGGCTGCTGGCCGCGTTGCGCGCCGCGGCGCCGCGCGCGTTCGACGCGACGACGTTCGCGGTCGCGCTCGCGGCGTTCTACGCCCTCGGCCAGCGCCTAGACCTCTAGCCGTTACTGTGGAAAGCTGCCACCCCTTTTGCGCACGTCGTCGCGAGGGTGAAGATGCGGACGGGGTCCGGCGGCGGCGGCGCCGCGGCGCACGTCGTTTCCCGCGCCCGTTTCGCCGCGGCGTTCGCGTGCCACGTCGCCAGGCAGACGACGGCCGCCGTGCGGTTGCGCACGCGCTTCGGCACGTCGTGGCGCGCGGGCTGCTCGCGGCAGGGGTTCCCCGGCGGGTGGAGCTCGTAGTCGAGCGCGTGGATGGCCAGCGTCGGCTCCTCGAGGAACGGGTGCGCGCAGTCCGTGAAGAGCTTCGGCGGCACGCGGCGCTTCGCGAACATGTACTCGCCGAGGCGGTAGTTCTGGCAGTAGTGGAGGAAGGTCGGCAGCCTCGGCGCGGGCCCCGCGGTGCCGTCGAGCGCGTCGGCGACGATCCTGGGCGCGTCGTAGCGCCGCGCCGGGCACGCGTCTTCGAGGGGCCGCGCGTCGAGGTGCGCCCAGCCCTCGTCCTGGACGTGGACGTTGCTGAGCATCATGTGGTTCACGCGCGCGTGCCGGAGCCGGAGGTGCGCCGCGGCCATGCAGTACGCGTACATCTCCGCGAGCAGGTCCGGGTACTGCGCGTAGACCTTCGGGGCGAAGTCGCGCCAGACGGGCGCGAGCCGCCGCCAGTCCGCGTGGTGCATGACGTAGGGCGGGCCCACGGGGTAGTACTTGTAGGCGTCCTTCGAATCCGTCGTCAGACACGGCGACCCCGCGCCGCAGATCTTCTCGCGGTCGAAGGTGAGCCAGTGCGTGCCCAGGCCGTACTGCTGGCCGACGGGGTGTCCCTCGTCCACGAACGCCGGCAGCTCCTCCTTCGTCCAGGGCTTGATGAGCAGCGCGTTCTCTCTCTCGACGACGTCCGTCAACGGCCGCAGGAACGCAAAGTCGGGGTCGATGAGGGCGACGATGGGCGCGCCGGCGAAGTCGACGCCGCCGCTCTCGAGGAAATGCTCGATGCCCCGCGGCTTGTTGTAGAAGTGGTAGGCCTTGCCCGTCTTCTCGTCCTTGTTGAACTCCGGCGTGACGTGCATGGAAAAGCGCGAGTGCTCGCCGTAGAGCTGCGCGTAGCGCGCCCGGAGCTTCTCCTCGCGGCCGTCTTTGCAGCCGGACGCGATGCGCGTCACCGGCCCCTTGTGGCCGACGACGTCCGCGGAGTTGAAGACGACCTCGCTCTGCCAATCTTGGTACGGCGTGCAGTCCGTGGAGAAGACGACGTGCACGCGCCGGCTCCGGTCGCCGTCGTCCGGCGCCGCGGCCGCCTCGATGCGCTGCTTCGCCGCGGCGATCGCGGCCTCGAGCGCCTTCTCGGCGCCGCGGATCTTCGCCGACAGCGGCGCCGGCGGCCGCGGCTTCGGCGGCGGGAAGGTCTCCGACTCGTAGACCCGCGGCTCCCACTCGAGCTCGGCGGGATCCGCGCCGGCGCCCATGAGCCGGTGCACGCCGTGGCCGCGGTCGCCCTGCGCGGCGACGGCGTCGCGGTGGTGGCTCAGCGTGAGCCAGGTAACGCCTCCGATGAGCAGCGCGAGCACCGTCAAGAGGATGTTGATGAAGGACCATTTCTTCCTGCGCGACGGCGCGGCCATAGCCTTCGCGGAGCGCGCCGCGCCGTCGCGCGGGTCGTTCCTCGACGACCTGCGGCGCTTCGTGCGCGGCGGCCCAGCACGATGGCTTGTTTGCCACAGAGGGCTTGCACTGCAAAGTGAACTTCAATCTAGCGCTCGGAAAAAACGAGGTGGGAGGCAGCCCCGCGCGCGCCCCGACGCGCCATGCCGTGGCAGGATCAGTACCCGGGCCAGCCCTGGCGCGAGGAGCCCTCGGGCATCAGCAAGGCGGACAAGAAGCTGCGCGACGACAAGGATGCCATGATGGAGATGGGGGAGAAGAAGGGCGGCCGCTTCGAGCTCAAGAAGCTCGCGAAGCGCCTGAGCATCAACGTCGACGGCTGCGTGAACATCGAGGACTTCGTGAACCGCATCGACATGGCGTCTCGATATCCCGAGGTCTTCGACTCCATGTGAAAGACCGCGCGCGCGGCCGCGGCCGCCGCCGCGGCCCCGCGCGGCCGCCGTAAGACTCGAAGCGACCCTCGCATGCGAGCGTAGGCCGTAGCACGGAACTACAGGTTCCGCCGCCGCCGCAAGACTCGGAGAGACCCTAGCATGCGAGAGTACACCGAAGCACGAGAGCGATTACAGGTTCTTCAGGGGCGTCGCGCCCCGGAGCCCGCGCCGCGCGGGCGCGTCCTCCTCGGCCGTGAGGAACGTCGCCCGCTGCTCCGCGGCGAGCTCCGCGTCGCGTTCGCCCGGGTTCGCCGCGGCCGCGCGCGCGCGCGCGGCCGTGCGCCCGCCGCGGCCGTCGACGCAGCGCGCGTGGGACCGCGTCACGCGCCGCTCGCGGTCGCTGCAGCGCGCCGCGGGCATCATGCGCTGCTTCGCCTCCTCGAGAGCCGCCTTCTGCTCGCCGCGCTTGCGCTCGCGCTCGACGGCGTCGTCGAAGCGCCGCGCCGTCGCGTCGTTCCAGACGCGCTCCCGCAGGTCGCCGACGCGCTCCGCGAACTCGTCGACCTCGCCCTGGGTCTCCGGGTGGAGCTCGCGCGGCCCGTAGCACTCGGGCCGCGCGGCCAGGGCGACGCCGTCGTCCAGGAGCTCCAGGAACACGTCGTCCTCCTCGCTCGTCTCCGGGTCGAAGTGGCCCCGCGCGCGCACGCCGGCGAGCGCGAGGCCCGCGTCCGCGGCGTCGCGCGCGCTTTTGGCGAACTCGAGCTTGGCCTTCGCGACGATCTCCTTCCGCGCGAACTTGGGCATGGACTTGGACCGCTCGAGCTTCGCGCGCCAGGCGGCGGCGGCGCCGAGCGCGGAGGCCACGCGGTCGAGGTGCTTCGCCAGCGTCTCGAGCGACGCGACGGGCGACAGGGGGCTCCCGGGCGCGTCCGCGGCGTCGTCGAAGGCGCCGCCGTCGTCGATCATGCCCACGCGGCCGCGGGGGCCCGCCGGCAGCGCCGCCGGTTTCGCTTCCTCCGCGTCCGGCCGCCGGTTCGCGCGCGCCTCGGCGTCCTCGAGGTCGCGGTGCAGCTCCTGCTCCAGCACCTCCCGGTCGTCGTCGTCCGCGAGGCCCAGGACGCCGCGCGCGAGGGACCCGAAGTAGCGCTCGTCGCCCGTGGCCGCCGCGTCGTCGACGTCGAGCGCCGCCTCGTCGTCCTTGCCCTCGACGCACCACTGGACGCTCGTCTTCGCCGCGAGGTCGCGCCGGACGCCCCTCAGGCGCTTCTCGTCGCGGCGGCACCGGTCCTCGAGGCCCTCGCAGGCGGCGCGGACCTTGCCCGACGCGTCGCTCACGCGGTCACTGAGCTTCGGGTCGCTGTAGCGCTCCATGTTGTGGACGAACTCGTCGTACTCCGCGGACACGGGCAGCCGCCTCCGCGCACCGGCGACGGCCGCGAGCGCGTCGGCGAGCTGGGGCGACCGCGCCTGCGACGGGTTCTCCTTGAGGCCCTGCTGGTAGAGGCGGAAGGCGTCGTAGACGCCCGCGGCGCAGCCGCGCAGGGTCGTCAGCGCGTCGAGCCAGGTCTCGACCTCGTCCGCGTCGTCGCTCTCGAGGAAGAAGGGCATGCTCGAGCTCCCGTCTCGCACGCGACGGTGCGGTCGACGTCGAGCGCGGCTGCGGTTGCGGGCAGCGGCGCGGGGCGGGGCAGCCTCGAGCAGGCAACGGCTGCGGTAATGTTGAGGTTCAACATGAGTTCAACTAAGGAACAATACGATGGCCGCCATCTCGCTTTGGATCTCGTTTGGGGCAGCGTCCGTGTGATCTGTGCTCCCGCACCTGGCTGCCCCCCTCGCTGAGGGGGCTGCGCTCCGCTGCGCGCCGGTGCAACCATCGCATGTAGGCTGGAAAACACCTGGCTCAACTACACGAGAAACGCCCTCTCTGCCACGGGCGTCGGCGCGGCCTTCATCGAGTTCCGGCGGCATTCGGACGACAAGCCGCCGTCAGCGTCTCATTCTTTTAGGCGTGGCCGCGTCGCGCCGCCCGCCCGGAACGCAGCCCACGGTTCACACGATCGTTCACAGGCCGCCCATCGGCGGTTGTTGTCTGCTGCTGATGGGCGGGATGTACGTCTCGCTGGGCAGCGCGAGCGTGCTCTACTCGGCGACGCTCCTGCGCAAGGAGCTGCGCGCGCGCCGCGTCCCCCGCCGCGCGACGCGAAACATCTTGCGGCGCCCGCAGGCAGCTGTCCGCGGGCGGCGTGGCCGTCGCGGCGGTCTCCGCCGTCTGGCCGCCGCTCATCTGGGGCGCGGCCGTGTCGTCGCTCTGGGGCGCGCCGCCGGCCGCGCTCGTCGACGCGCTCAAGGCGCACAAGGCGCGCCTCCCCGAGCTGCTGGCGACGAAGCTCGATAATCTCGAATGACTCTGTTACCGTCGCGACGACCGGCGGCGCTGGGAGCCGCGCTTCTTCGAGTTCTGGATGTACTTCCACTCGTGGGCGTCGTCGTCGGTCTGCGAGTGGCGGATGTCCGGCAGCTTGTTCGCGTCCGCGAGGGGCGCGGCCGGCTGGGACCGCGGCGACGCGCGCTCGAGGCCGCCGATGCGCGCGAGGAGCGTGACGCGCTCCTCGGCCTGCGCGTGGACGTGGGCCTGGAGCGCGAGGACGTCGGCCTGGGCCTTGGCGAGCGCGCCCGCGTCCGGTGGAGGGGGCGCCGCGGCCGCGCGCGCGAGCTCCGCCTTGAGATCCGCGAGCTCGCGCGTCATCTCGTCGGCCTCGCGGCCGCGGAGCGACGCCTCGAGGCGGAGGCCGTCGCACTGGCGCTTCCAAGCGTCGCGGTCGCTTGCCAGCGCGTCGCGCTCGCTTTGCAGCGCGTCGCGTTCGCTTTTTAGCGCGTCGCGCTCGTCCGCGAGGTTCGCCGCCGCGCCGTCGCGGTCCGCCCGGAGCTGCCGCAGCTCCGCCTCGTGCTCGAGGCGCGCCGTCGTCCAGGCCTCCGCGAGCTCGCGGCCGTCGTTCTCGGCCTTGGCCCGGACGGCGCGGAGGTCCGCCTCGGCCTTGGCCAGCCGCGCGAGCGCGTCGTCCGCCTTGTCTCGCGCGGCGGCGACGGCGTGGCGGCTCGCGCGCAGCTCCGCGTCCGCCGACTTCTCCAGCGCCGACCGGCTCGACGCGAGCTCGGCGCCGACCTCCGCGGCGTGCTCCCGCGACGCGTCGAGGAGGGCCGTCAGGGCCGCGCCGGCGGCCTCCGACGCCGCGCGCGCGTCGACCTCGCTCGCGGCCAGGCGCGTCACGGTCTCGCACGACCGCACCTGCTCCTCGAGGGACCGTTTCGCCGCGGCGAGCTCCCGCTCCTTCTGGAGAAGCACGGCGCGCCAGTCGTCGTTGGCCTGCTCCCGCGCCGCGTCGGCCTCGTCGGCTCGTCGTCGAACGTCGTCGACGGCGCCGCGCGTCTTCCGCGCCTCCGCGAGCGCGGCCTCGCGCGCGGCCTCGCTCCGGCGCAGCGCGTCGGCGGCCTGGCGCCGCTCGGCGTCCGTCTCGGCCCGCGCGGCGCGCACCTGCTCCGTGGCGAGGCGCCGCGCGGCCTCGAGGTCCTTTTGGAGCTGTTGCCGCTCGTCGACGCCCTCGCGCGCCGCGGCCTCGCAGCGGTCCACGGCCAGGTCCCGCGCGCTCGCGAGCCGCGCGCGGTCCTCGGCGTTCTCCGCGAGCGCCGCCTCCGCCGACGCCAGGCTCCGCGCCGCGGCCTCGAGGTCGACGCGCGCGGCGCGCTCCGCCTCCTCCGCGGCCGCGGCGGCCGCCGCGCGCTCGTCGGCCTTGTCGCGCGCCGCGCGCGCCTCGAGGTGCGCGACGTCGGCGCGCCGCCGCTCGTCCTCGACGAGGAGGTCGTGGTCGTCGGCGAGGCGCGACGCGCCCTCGAGGGCGACGGCCTTGAGGCGCCGGAAGTGGCGCCCGAAATCGGAGACCTCGCTCCGGATCTCCTCGAGCACCGCGCGGTCGAGCTTCAGCGCGCGCTGCGCCGTCTGCATCTTCGCCGCGATCTTCTCCATGAGGAGCTTCCTCGCGAGCTTCGCCCGCGCCTCGTCCTCCATCGTGGCCGCCCAGCCCGCGGCAGTTAGGGATAATAAGTTCAAGCAACGCTGCTCCTTGAGAAGCTGCACCTAACGGAAACGAGCGCGCTTAAAAACTCGCGGAGGCTGCCCGCCCGCCCGCCGCCACAGCTCGCGCGCCGGCGGCCCACGAGCGTCGCAATGGAGGACGTGGAGAACACGTCGCCCAAGTCCGCCAAGTCCGGCGACGGCGCGCCGAAGCGGGAGAAGGGCTGGAGCGCCATCAATAAGGTCAACAAGGAGCTCAAGGAGAAGAAGCGCGAGAACGAGAAGCTCCAGGCGCGCGTGGTGGAGATCAGCGGCGCCATGGACGGCCTGCGCCAGCAGCTCTGGGAGCTCGAGCTCGTCAACGCCGAGGCCGCCGCGCGCGTCGAGGAGCTCGAGGACGCCGCGACGGCGCGCGACGCGAAGTCGTCCGAGGCCGAGGACCAGCTGCTCGACGCCGGCGCCGCGGAGGTCGCCGCGGCCGTCGCCGACGAGCGCGCGCGCGCGGCCGTCGAGCGCCGCGCGCTCGAGGCGGCGCACCTCGCGGCCGTCGCCGAGCTCGAGGCGGCGCGTCTCGCGGCCGTCGCCGAGCTCGAAGCCGCCGCGGCCGCGGACGCCGAGGCCCACGCGGCGACCAAGGCGGAGCTCGTCCAGGCGCGGCGCGCGGCCGCCGACGGCACCGCCGAGGCGCGGGCGGCGACGAAGCGTTCGACCGCCGCGGAGGCGCGCGCCGCCGCCGCCGAGGCGGAGCTCGACGGGCTGCGGACGTCGCCGCCGCCCCGCTGCGTCTCCGTCGAACCGGAGTCGCCGGACAAGGACGGCCTCCTGGAGCGCCTCGAAGGCGAGTGCGCGCGCCGCGCCGCGGAGCTCCAGCGGCGCGCCGCCGAACTGCAGGACGCGCGCAAGGCCACGCTCGACAGCAACTGGCGCGCGACGCAGCTCGAGGCGGAGCTGAAGACGCTCCGCGAGACCAAGGACGCGACGAAGAAGCGGCTCTCCGTCCTCGACGCGCAGACGCAGCAGGCGCGCCTCGCCGCCGAGGAGTCGCGCGTCGCGCTGCTCCGGGGGACGCTCGCGCGCTACCTCGCGGCGCCGTCCGACGACCTCGCGCGCACCCTCGCGGCCCTCCTCGACGTCGACGCGCCGCGCGGGGGGGACCGCGCCGCGTGCGGCCCCGCGCTGCCCGCGGCCCTCGCGCGGCGCCTGGCCGCCGCCGCCCGCGCGACCTTCGGCCGCCGCGAGGCGCGAACGGCGCTGTAGGGGCGCTTACGAGGCCGCGAGCAGCAGGGCCGCGAGCGCCCCCGCGACGCCCGCGCGGGCGGCGGCCGCGGCGCCGACCTCGTCCTCGGGCGACGCCGCGTCGTCGTCCGCGCGCTCCGCCGGCCGCGGCGTCGGCGCGGGCGCCGGGGGCGATTCGATGCACTTGCCCGCGCAGTCGTACCACAGGCAGCGATACTCGTAGTCCTCGATCTCGTAGCCGTCCTCGCAGGTCCAGCACGTGTATTCGTTCGCGGCCACGCTGCACACGTTCGCGCAGCCCTCGCCGGCGCAGGCGTCGGACACTTCGACGGCGACGCGCTGGCCCCGCAGGCAGTGGCCGTAGTTGCTCGTCGAGCAGGAGAAGTAGATGTAGCCCGCGGCCGCGTCGGCCTCCGTCACCGCGTAGTCGTACTCGCCGTCGTGACTTCCGCTGAGGAACTCGCCCGCGTATCGCAGGAGGCGTCGTCCATCTTGATGACGTCGTGGCCCGCGTCGAAGAGGAAGCGAATCGTGTGGCCGACGCGCACGATGCCGTTGTAGGTCGTGTTCGTCGCGTCGTACTGGGACACGCCGTCGACGGACGTGCCCATCTCCTCGTAGTACAGCTGGCACGTGTTCTCCGTGCCGCTCGAGCACAGCGTCGTCCAGCTCTGTTCGCCCGTGGGCGTCGTGATGGTGCGCACCATCGCGCCGGCGCCGGCGCCGAGCAGAACGGTAATCAGTGCAGCCCGCATTGCTTTGCCGGCAGCCCGCACGTGCGCGTCAACCTAGCCCTCAAGGTCGGTTCACCTTGTTGTTCTCGAACAATCAAGGAATGGTCTCGAGTCGGGGCAGCTTCTTGATCATGGCATTGTCAAAGCACTAGGCATCCACATCGTTCACGCTCAAGCTGCCGAGGCGCCCGCAGCCGCAGTTATATGGAGCACATCATGTGGTTCCTCGTCGCTGGCTTGCTCGTCGTCGGCCTCGCGGCCCGCTTCGGCCTCCGGCGCATCCAGTACCTGAACCCCAAGGAACAGCTGCTCGTGAAGCTGCTCACCTCGAAGATCGTCGTCAACGGTCCCGCCGTCTACTTCCCGCCCCTGTTCAAGACGCTCTCCTACAAGAAGCGCCCCGCGCTCACGCTCGCGACGGCGCAGCACTGCGTCGTCACCGAGGAGCGCACGGGCGAGCAGCGCGTCGTCGAGGGCCCCTGCGCGCTCTTCCTCGGGCCCTACGAGGCCGCGGCCGCGGCGACGGAGTCGCGGTCGCTCTCCGAGGCCGAGGGCGTCGTCGTGCTCGACCGCGCGTCCGGGACGCGCGAGCTCCTCGCGGGCCCGCTCGTCTACGCGCCGCGGACGGCCCACGAGGTGCTCGAGCGCCACGTCGCCGCGACGACGCTAAAGGCCTCGGAGTACGTCCGCGTCCAGGACGCCCGCACGGGCAAAGTGCGCGTCGTCGCCGGCGAGTGCCGCTTCTTCTTGGAGCCGCACGAGGCGCTGGTAGGGAAGATCGCAAACGCCTGGACCCTCGGCGCGAACGACTACGTGCGGCTCCGCGATGGCGCGTCCGGCTCCGTGCGCGTCGTCCGCGGTCCCGGCGTCTGTGTCCCGAAGGCGACGGAGGACGCCGTCGACGGGCCCGAGCCGCTCGCCGCCGTCGCGCTCAAGGCCTGGGAGTACAGCGTCATCCAGGCGCCGGACGGCGCGCGGCGCGTCGAGCGGGGGCCGGCGCTGATCCGCCTCGGCCCCGAGGACGTCTTCCTCTCCGCGCGCAAGACCGGCGCGACGGTCGACGCTTTGCACGCGGCGCTCGTGCGCGACCGGTCCACGGGCGCGGAGCGGCTCGTGACCTGCGAGCGCGACGCGAGCTTCGTCTTCGTGCCGAAGGCGGGCGAAGAGATCGTCGAGGTGCGGGACCTCGTGCGCCTCGCGGAGCACGAGGCCGTGATCCTGCGGGACGGCTCCGGCAAATTCCATTACCGCTACGGCAAGACGCCCGACGGCTGCTTCTTCGTGCCCCCGACCTGGGAGATCGTGTCGCTGAAGTGGTCGCGGGGCCGGCGCCGCGAGACGCGCGACCTCGTCATCTCCGTCTTCGACTGCCGCCCGCAGTACATGTCCTTCGAGTTCAACTGCCGCACGTCGGACAACGTCGAGCTCGTGCTCGAGGGGACCTTCTTCTGGGAGGTCGCGAGCATTCCGAAGATGCTCGAGTTCACCTCGGACGCCCCGGGAGACGTGTGCTCGCACGCGCGGTCGTCGTTCATCGCGTTGATCTCCAAGGTCACGCTCGCCGAGTTCATGGCGTCCTTCAACGATCTGGCCAAGCGCGCGTCCGACGGCGACGACGCCTTCTACCGGAACCGCGGCATCGACGTCCACTCCTTGGAGGTCACGCGCTACGCGTGCGCGGACGCGTCGACGTCCGCGATTCTAGCCCAGATCATCTCCGAGACGACGAACCGCATGTGCCGCCTCTCGCAGCAGGACTCGGAGAACGAGATCGCCCTCTCGAAGATCGACGGCGCCGTGGCCCAGGAGAAGGGCAAGGCCGAGCTCAACGAGATCCGGGAGGCGCGCGACGTCGCGGCCGCGCGGGCCGAGGGCGAAGCTGAGGCGCAGCGGCTCCTGTCGTTCCTCGAGACCCTCGACGGCCGCGTCACCGACGGCGAGGCCCTCTGGCGCGAACTGCGGCGCAAGGACGCCCTCGAGGCCGTCGCGAGCGGCTCGGCCCACGTCTACTTCACGCCGGACCAGGCCCAGCTCACCATCGAGACGCGCGCGTGAGAGCTTTGTGTGCGCCGAGTGAAGTTAAAATGTCAAAATGGAATGGTGCGTTAGTCAAAGGGCACCGTCGAGATCGACGTCCACATGTCCCGCGTGGCCTGGGGCACCTTCGACGAGTCGTTGAAGCTCGGCGCGGGCCCGTAGTCGAGCATGTTCGCGGTCCAGACCCCGACGCCGCGGAGCCCCTTGTCCTTGACGATGCGGTACTTGGCCTCGAGGCTCGCGAGGTCGTCGTACCACAGCTGCGACACGTTGCCGTCCTTGTCGACGAAGTTCATCCAGGACTGCTCGAGGATCGCGTCGGCGTGCGCGCCGTCGACGGACGCCGCCGTCTTCGCGGGCATGGAGCTGAAATCCACGGCATTCGCCTTCGCGTCCGTGCAGTTGGCGTCGCGCCAGGGCGCGGCCGCGATGGGGCAGTAGCGCGCGTCCTTGGCCGTGCCGGACACGCAGGGGTACTCGCGGCCGTACCAGGGCACGGCGAGCACGAGCTGCGACGGGTCCACGAGCGCGAGGTAGTTCAACACGCCCTGGAGGACCTGGGGCGGCGGGCTGTTCGGGGTCGCGAGGCACGCGCCGAAGATGTAGGAAGCCATGTCGTAGGCCATGATCAACAAATAGTCCGCGTGCTCGGCGATGCCGGCGACGTCGTAGAAGCGGCCGTCGATGCCCGGCATCCACCCCACGTCGTAGCCGACGACGGCACCCTCGGGCAGCGCCTCGCGCACGCGCTTGACCATGTCCGTGAGGCCGTCGCGCGACGTCCGGTTTCCCGGCGCGATCGCGTCCTCCGTGTCCATGTTGACGCCGTCGGCGAAGTAGCGCCGCACGTTCTCCGCGACGCCCGCCGTCCACGCGGCCTTGGCGGACTCGTTGGTCCCGCCGTAGACGGCGACCTCCGGCGACGCGGGCACGACGACGCGGACGCGCTTCGATTTGGCGTAGCAGTAGAGCTCCGCGGACGAGTCGAGGAACTCCCAGAGGGCGACGGTCGTGAGGCGGCTCCAGTCGTAGCGGCGCCACTGCTGCATGTTGTATCCCTCGCCTGCGACGTGGAAGGCGAAGAGCTCCTTCTCGAAGCGCGGCGCCGCCTGGAGCTCGCAGAGGGCCTTGTCCTTGCAGGGGCATTCGCCGGGATATTTCGCGTTCGGGTCCAGCAGCGCCTGCGACTCGTCGGGAGGCACGTACTGCGCAGAAGCAGAAGCGGCGGCGAGCAGCAGCGCGAGCGTGGGGCAGCCCATCATCATGCTCTCAGTTCAGAAGCTCGGCGATTCCCAGACTTCAAGAATCGACTTCAACGAGTCTTATCCGGGCGGGCCGCCGCCGGCGCGTCGTCGACGGGCCCGAGGCGGTCGTTCGCGCCGACGAGGCGTATTTCGACGTTGCCCGCCACGGAGAGCCCCCGCCCGCGGTTGCCGTCGTCGAGGCCGACGCCGTCGACGACGAGCGTCGCCGCGTCGCCCGGCCGGAGCGCCTCGACCTGGATCGCCGCGGCCGTCGCGTCGCGCGTGCCGGAGACGACGACGTCGTGGAGCGCGACGGCCGGCGACAGGTAGCAGTAGATGCCGCGGACGGCCGCGTTCGCCACGACGGACCGGCGGAGCGTCACGGCCGTCGAGCCTCGCGCGCAGATGCCGTGGGGCGCCGCGTCGGCGACGCGGCAGCCGTCCATGGTCAGGGCCGCGTCGTTGAAGAGCGTGACGGCGCTGCGGCCCGTCCCCGCGACCTCGCAGTCCGTCAGCGACGCGGACGCGCGCTGCGCCAGCCAAACGCCGAAGCCGGCCTCGGACGAGATCGCGCAGCGCTCGAGCGCCACGGCGCCCTTGCCGCGCGCGAAGACGCAGGCGCCGAGGGCGCGCTGCTCCGCGCGGTCGCCGCTCGCGACGTGGCGCAGCCGCACGCCGCTCACCCGGAGGCCGAAGGGCCGCGCGGAGCCGCCGACCTGGAAGACGCTGTGCCCGCTGCCGACGACGGCGCCCGGGCCGCGGATGGCGAGCGCGTCGCCGGCGCCGACCTTGTGCGGCGCGTCGAGGATCACCGTGCGGTTCTTGAGTTCGAGCGGCCGCCGGCACCGCATCGCCGCGCCGCAGAGCCGCGCGAACTGCGTCTGCGACAGTGTTGTAGAGGAAGCGACGGCGGCGAACGCGAGCGCGGTCGCGATGCGGCGCGTGCGAGCGATCATTGCGCGCGGTGGGTATGAACGATGCGGTGCGTGCAAGCGATCATTGCGCGCGGTGGGTCTGAAAGCCGCTAGCACAAATCAGCCAAATCGATGCCCATGTCCTCGCAGCCTTGATGTTGCTGGTCAATCAAAATGACAAAGTTAACTTGAACTACGGGGCAGCTCTCGTTTATGGAATAATGCGGCTTCCTGCCACCGTCGCGCTGCTGGCCGCGTCCGCCGGCGCGGACACGAACATCAATTTATACGAGGGCTACAACCCGGCGCGCGGCTGCTGCGCGGGCACGACGGTGAGGGTGGGCTATCTCGGGACGAGCGCCGAGCCCTACTACGGCACGGACGACGGCGGCCAGATCGTCGGCCTCTACCCGGACCTCATGGACCTCCTGGCCGCGGAGATGGACTTCCAGATCCAGGACGTGGTGGTCCCCTCGACGAGCGACTGGGCCGAGCTCCTGCGAAACGGCACCTGCGACGTCATCTTCGAGTTCTCGACGGAGGAGGACGGCGTCTCCATGGCGCGCACGCCGTTCGTGTCCTACACGTTCACGGGGCTGACGAGGAAGACGAACACGCGGTCGGGCGCCTGGTCCATCTTCGACCCGTTCCACTCAGGGCAGGAAAAGGGTGCGAAATTCCCAACTTCCGATCTCGGCCGTTTTCAACTCGTTTCGGCTGATTTGTGGACGAGCGATCATCTCTCGGAGCGCTCTCGACGCGTGGATGCTTTTTTCCGGAACGCGCGCGCGCGGAACACTCACGCTGCATCATCCCCAGGTTCCACTGGCGGCTCTGGCTCGCGGTCGCGGCGACGGTCGTCGTCGGCGGCGTCGTCGCGTTCGCCATCGCCGTCGCCGCGGACGGCGCGCCGCGCACCCTGTCGGCGGGCGTCGAGTCCGCGGCGACGCAGCTCTACCACGCGACGGCGCTGCTCCTCGCCGGCGACGACTTCGAGTGGCTCCGCGGTCCCGGCCGCGCGTTCCGCCTCGGCTTTTTGTTCTTCGCGCTCGTGACGTCGGCGACGTACACGGCGAACCTCGCGGCGTTCCTCACGCGGCCCAACGTCAAGGTCCTGGGCCCGCAGACCATGGACGACCTGGCGACGTCCGTCGCGTGCGTCGAGTACGGGTCCCTCGTCGCCATGCTCGGGAGCCTCGTCGCGGGCACGATCTCGCCGGACACGCACGCGGCGGACGGCGTCGCCTACGGCTACGACGAGCTCGGCGCGCGGACCGCGTGGTGCGTCGACGCGGTGCTCGGCGGCGCCGCGGACATCTTCATCTCCAACGACGTCGGCCTCCACCTCGTCGGCCTCGACCTGTGTGCAAATCAACCACTGGTTTGGGACGTCCCGACCAAACTTTGAAATTCTCTAGCTCGCTCAAATCGAAGTCGATTCGGCTGATTTTTGGACGGATCGATTGCTCTCATCGAGTTCTCGAAGCACAGCGGAAGTTCGTGTGTCAAAACATTCGAATACGCTCACATTGAAGTCGGGTTGAAGATTTGATTTCCACACAGGCCTCGACCACTGCGAGGACCTGCACCCGGCCGCGGGCATCCGGCTCATGATGCTCCACACGCACGTCTTCGCGAACGACGCGGCGCTCGCGCGGAACATCTCCTCGACCATCGACGCGCTCTACTCCTACGCGTCGATCTACGCCGTCTTCGACGAGCGCTTCCGCCGCGCGGAGTCGTGCGGCGAGGCCGAGGTCGGCGAGACGACGCAGATCAAGATGGGCGACATGGCCGGGGCGCGTACCCGGTGTCTCCTTGTTCTTACGAGAAGTACGGCGCGCGAAAAAACACCGTAGGTCTTCTACATCTTCGCGGCGATCGCGGCGGCGTCGCTCTTGTGGGCGGCGTTCGAGCGGCGCCGCCGCCGCGGCGCCCCGGACGACCGCGTCGCGCCGCCGGAGCCGCCCGCGTTGCCCGAGAAGCCCGCGCCGCCGAGCCCCGAGTCGCCGCGGGAGCGGAGGAAGCGGCGCGCGAAGGTGCCGCGGGCCGGGCCCGAGTCGACGGCCGCGGCGCTCCAACGCGTCGAGGCGAAGCTCGACGCGATCCTGGCCGCGCCAACGCCGCTCGACGCCGTCGTCACGCGCGACGCGGAGGGCACCGAATCGTCGCCGGACGCGTACTGCGGCCTCGGCGCCGCCTACTACTAGTAGTACTCCGTGGACGATGGGCAGTAACCTCCTTTAAGCGGCCCACGCGGTCCCGAGGTCGAAGTCGTAGAGGCGGTGCTCCGCGAGGGCCGTCGCGTTGGCGTCCGCGAGGGCCTCCGCGGCGCCCGCGAACGTGTCGACGAGCGACACCAACGGCGCCAACACCGCGTCCCACTTGGCGGCGAAGTTCGGCGGCAGCGCGAGGTCCGCGGCGTCGCCGAAGGCGCGGAGCGCGAGGTGCTCCAGGGGCCGCACGAGCGACGCGTCGACGAGCGCCGCCGCAAAAAGCGCGTCGCAGCGCGCGAGCTCCGCGGCGTCCAAGCCGACGCGGTCCGCGGCGTCCACGGCCGCGCGCGGCCGGTGCGCGTCGCGGTGCGCGGGCCGCCGCGCCTTGACGGCCGTCCGCGGGGGCCCGTTCGCTTCCCGCAACGGCTCGGCGCCGCCGCCGGCGGACTTGCGCGTCTTCTTGTCCGCCGCGGCGCTCGCCCGGAAGCTCCGGTCGCAGAAGCCCGCGAGCGTCGCGTGGAGCACGCGGAGCGCCTGGGCCTTGGTCCGCGGCGCGAAGCCCGGCGCCGCCAAGAGCTTCACGCCCAACAGCTCCACGAGGCGCCGCAGGCGCTTCGCCGACTTGGCGACGCGCCAGATGACGAGGTGCTGGGCGCGCTTCCCGAACGTAAGATCGCGCTGCTCGAGGATGAGCGCGTCGAGCGACTCGCAGAGGATCGAAGTCGCGCGCCCGCCCGCCGCGAGCGTCGCCCGCGAGACGAAGGAGCCCGGCGCGTCGCGCTCGCCCTCGGCCCAGAGCGCGAGGTTCACGTCCAGGCGCTTCGGGAAAGAAACATCCACGCCCTCGCCCTTGCAGAGCACGGACCCGTCGTCGCGGTCCTCGTCCCAGCTCGCGTCCGCGCCCCGGAGCGCCGCGAGCGCGGCCGCGGCCGCGCCCCGCGCGGGCGTCACGCGGAAGCCGCACAGGAGGCGCACGAGCGAAAAGGCGCAGACGTCGTCGGCGGCCACGCAGCGCGCGTCGCGGTGCTCCACGGACCTGTGTGGAATTCAAATCTTCAACCCGACTTCAATGTGCGCATATGCGACAGTTTCGACGCAAGCTCTTCGGCTGTGCTTCGAGAACTCGACGAGAGCAATCGATTCGTCCAAAAATCAGCCGAATCGACTTCGATTTGACCGAGATAGAGAATTCTGAAGTTTGGTCAGGACCACCCAAACCAGTGGTTGAATTCCACACAGCCACGGACGCGTTGTCCGACACGTAGGCCGCGCGCGACTCGCCGCAAAAGCGGAGCGCGACGCCGGCGGCCGTCTGGCGGATGTCGACGTCGCGCCGCGCGCAGGGCACGGCCGCGAGCGCGCCGGGCGCGGCGAGCGCGGCGACGAGCGCGAGGGACGGCGGGTCGTCGAGGCCGTAGTGGCGCTTCGCGTCCTCGAGCTCGCCGAGGAGCGCGGCCGCGGCGGCCGCGAGCGCGGCGCCCGAGTCCGCGCGCGACGACCAGGACGCCGGCAGCGCGACGCGCCGCAGCGCGCGCTTGGCGGCCTCGCGCGCCGCGGCGTGCGCGGCCTCGAAGGTCGCCGGGTCCTTGAGGGCCGGGTCCGCCTCGTAGTCCAACAGGCAGTAGAAGTCGACGTCGCTGAGGCCCGACGACGTCAGCGCCGCGGCCAGGTCGGCGACGCGGCCGTCGGCCGACGCGGCCCGGAGCATGCCCACGGCCGCGGCCTGACGAAGGGACGACGTTGCCGC